GAGCTGCTCTGTCTGCAAGAAGCAATATAAGAACGACCCATTCTGGGCCAGGCACCCACATTCCATTCACCCGTAATGCAAGCTCTACAAATGCCTCCACCCAGCCAGGGCAGCTCCTGGCCTCCTGTGTCCCCTAGTGTGTGTGTGCACATGCACTCATGTGCGCATGAACAAACACACACACACACACACACACACACACACACACACACACCATGGTCACTTCTCCCTCTGCATACACCTGTCTGTGAACAAACTGCATTCACACACCTTATCAGCAGCTTAAGATGGTCTTCAATAGAAGACTCGGCCCTTCTCTGACAAAGTCAATTTTAAATAAAAATAAATCCCAAACTCAAACAAGCGTCATTGGTTCAAGATCTCCAATGTCAGAAGCCGCCTGCCTCATTCAAGAGTAAAGCAGCAGGCGTTGACAAAGACTAAACAGGGTGGTGTGTTTCAAGGGTCTTCCATGTCAGCTCCAAGCCCTGCTCTCACTTCCAGCCTGCACATAGATTTCTACCACTCCATTCGGTGGGAACCTGGAGCTGTGCAGGAAAAGGTCTGGGGAAGCCTAGAGCAGAACCTGCCTGCTCAATTAGGTATCCTGAATGGTGGGGAAGAGGATAGTCCTGAACATCTGATACATCTGGGAGGGGAACTGCAGAGATGGGAAATGTTATGTAATTAAACTCTCCTGGCCTGTACCACTTGGGGAATGTGAGGCCCATCAGCAGTGACCTCTTCCAATCAACTTAATTGGCCTGATCTCGCCAAGAAAAGCAACGGAATTGGTTTAGTGCCTCATGGAAATAGCTTAGCTCCTGCCTATTTATGGCCACTGAACTCCAGGATGGGAGCCTTGATTCTGAGCCAGGAGCTGACAGCATGTGCTAACTTCTGGGAGGACTGGGAGGTTTCAATGCCTCCGTGTCTCCATCTTCATCTCTAGGGAAAGTGGTTGCACTGGGCACACAGAAGTTGCAAATCTGAAGCTCAGGCTTTCCTCTGTCCAAGCAGGCTCTTGCCCACAAAGGATCTAGAGAAAAACAGACCTTGATAGCCACATAGAAGAGCTGAGCTTTGCATCTCTTTTATTCAAATATCAGTGATGCCAAGGACAATTACTATTTATTTCTGTTCTCAAAGCCACATTTGTTTTGGCATTGTGATCTGCATAGCTAATGTTAAAAATGGGAAAATGTCTCTGATAATTAATAACTGAGTTTTGGATTCCCTTTCTCCTGAATAGCTTGTAAACTGTGTAGGCTCTCATCAATTGAAACCTGGGCCAGGCTGCCTCCTGCCTCTGGATGGCTGCACTGAGGCAGTTGTAGGAAGCTTAGTTTGCACACCACCAAGACTATCAACTTGCACTGGAGGAGGGAGAGTCAAAGATTCCACTTCCATGGTGACTTACAGACATGCCCACACCTGGGCCCAATTACATGTCATCTCTGGGCAGCGCTGTGTAGCTGAGTACACCAAGTTCTGATGGGGAAGAGAGGAGGAAACTTGCCTTCACTGTGAGTCATTATCAACAGTGCCATTTTGCAAGAAGAGAAACAGAGAGTTGGATGCGTGCATATTATTTTTTCTAAATTCACGTTGTTCCAGTGGCGGAACTAGATTAAAATCAAGAGATCCCTGATCAAGAGTCTCCCACATCATCCAGCCAATGGTCAATCCCTATACCAGCTATTCCTTATAGAGACAAATTGGCCCCAAAACAAAACAGGATAGAAGTGCAGCACAGCACAGCTGTAGTGTTCTGCAGCCCGAATCCCCCACGCATACAGACACCCTCTCAGGATCAGGATCCAGTCAGTGAAAGGAGGGTTCCCTGCTCCCTGGCCCTGGCAGGCAGGGATGTGCATCCCACAGTGTGCCAGTCTCTGCTGTGACCTGGGACCTTCTCCAGGTCTCTCACTTCCCACACCTGTGGTCCACTTGGATCTGCATCTTTTTCCCCTCGAGATTACACCTGGGCATCCAAGAGGCTTTTTATACTTTCCCAGACACACGGAACTCCTGCAAGAACCCACACCGCACATGCTCACAAAAGCCAGAATGCATGCACGTACACACACACACACATGGAAGCACTCAGGTTAGCCCAGAAGGCACCCAAGTCGAACAGAACAGACGCTCTCACCCACACTCTTCCTGAGCACCACTCCATCCCCTTCCACCTTCTCTTGCCCAGACTCCTTCCCTCTGGCGGGCAGGCTACACACACTCCTGGAAACTGAGTTCTCCCACCTGATCTTGCATTTCTAACCTGATGGCAGGGTCTTCCCACCCCCAGCCCATGCTCTCTACCAGAAGCGGTGACATCCTCCAGCTCCCTTCCAGCCCACGAAAGCATATACCACCCCTCCCTTTGCCCTTCCACAATGCCACAGAGGTTTCAAGACAGCTTCCCTTTGCCCCCAGCTCCCATCAACCTCTCTAGAAACTGAGTTACAGACCTTGAAGAAGCCCCAACAAGCTCTGCCCTCCCATTTCTTGGCAAAACTGCAGGGGTCAGCTGAGCCCAGAAGGAATTTTTCCAGTCGGTGTGTGCCACGCCCAAGTAGCAGGCAGAGGGCTGAGCATCCAGTTGGCCCCATTAACTTAACTGATGACCAGTGAACTCCCTGCTAAACATACATCCACCACAGGATGCTGCAAAACACGCACCCTGCCGGGTATGCCACGTGGCCACTGCCAGCCTTCCCTCTGTGCTAGGCCTTCCTCTTCTCTTCCAGGGCCACACAAAGCGCTTTCGCCTTACAGGCGCACCTCCCCACCTCCTTCTCTGAGCTTCTCTGGATTGGGGAGCAGGGACTGGGGAACCCCAGGACATCTTTCTTGAAACGTCCAGCCTTCCTCTTAAAGGTGCCTACACTTCCAAGCAGCCAGGCCTCCTTCCCTGAGGAACCCTCATAGTCTGCTCCTGCTCCTGAAGTTCATGCCCGCTCCCTGGCTCCCTGCCACACACTCCCTTGTCCACCTTCCCTTCACATTGGTGCTGCCTTCCCACCCACTCATGCTGCGTAGGCGCTGGAGCCGTGGGTCTCCAGCACCTAGCGCAGATTTCTCCCCAGCTACACCTGTGCTCCTCATGCTGCGCACAGAGGCTCCCCACAGGCCGGATTGACAGAGCTAGCGGAGAGGCTGGGAAGTCTCCCCTTCCTTCCTGGCCAGCGAGGAAGTTCCCGACTCCTTCTAGGAAAGCAGAGTTCCTCCACACAAAACCAAAGCTTGCAAGTCCAGCCCAGCACCATCCTCACCAGCTCCGAACCTTGCACCCTGCTCTGGGCTAAGGCCACAGACATCTTCTTTCCTTTCCTATTGTCTGGACGCCTGCTTTCTTCCCTTCTCCCCCAGCTTGCTTCCAGCCTGCGTGTGAAGCCCAGCGCAGAGGCAGTTGTATTTCATCCCCTGAACCAGCTCTGCTTCTCGACTTTCTTAGTGCAAAAGCACTGGGAGAGTTGCAGATGCTGGAGGGAGGGGGCAGGAGGCGAGTGCGGGAGAATTTCAGAGAGTTGGAGAGTTGCAAAAACAGAACTGACTGAAGTCCCCTCCAGTTACAGCCGCCCCGCCCTGAGCCTGTAGGTGTTTTCCTCCCAAGGTTTTGTCCGCGGGGTAGAAAAGAGCATCTCTGTACTAAAAGCAGGTTTTCCAGCTCACTCTCACAGACCTCAGACTCGGAGAGTAACACCGCTCCCCTCCCGGGCCCCTTCCCCACCCCCACTCTGCACCACAGCTAGGGGCGCCTCTGCAGCCCTGGCCCAGGCTCCTGTCCGGTGGAGAAGCGGCCTCGCTGACTGACTTCCCTGTACCACCCCGGGCCGGGAAGGGATCAGCCCCACTGCTAGGTTCCCACTTGGGTTCCCACCGGACCCTCGATTCCAGCGAGAGGGGTTTTCCTAGACCGAGGCTCGCAGGGCCGCGCAAGGGGACAGCGGACAGACCGACCGGAGCCGGATTTCCGAAGGCAGCAGCGCCTCCTGGGGCACACCCACCAGCGCCCCAAGGCACAGAGCAGTGCCCCCTCACCCAACCCCTGCCCCCTTCTTCCCGCACCCAGTTCCCTCCCGGCAGCTGTCCTGTCCGCGTACCCCCAAGTGGAGTTCGGGGCCCAGAGGCCTTTTGGGGGACCCAGCCCCACAGGTCCCTCCATGCCCCAGCCTGCCCACATCCAGCCAGGGTCCCCAGGAGGCCGGGCCGCGCTGCTTGCAGCTAACGGGTAGGGTCCCACCCGCGCCTATTGGAGCGCAAGCCCCAACAACTGATCAAAGACGGAGTGGGGGAGCCCGGGGACCCGCAAGGAGTCCCTCTCCAGATCGGCTCCGAGAAGCGCTTTGGGGGCTCCAGCACAGGTACAGCGCGGAGTCCTGATCCCCAGACTCGGAGTGACCGCGAGTCCCAGATCTGGGCACGGTGGGGCCTGAGGGGAGCCGGGCCTGGGCGGGCAAGGTGCGGGGCGCAGGGCGCACTCTCCTCCAGACCAGGGCTGCCGGTCGCCCCCTTTTGTTACAGGGCAACGCCTTCCCGAGGGTGGAAGGGTGCATGGAAATGGGGGTCCTGCTGAACCCTCTCCGGCCTTTCTGTCGACCCCACCTCCCCTTTCATTCGAGGTGCCTAGAATCTGATCACTTTCCCAGACTGAGGGCTGCTTCTCGGGCAGACAGGGACGGATGAGGGAGGAGGCGGGGAGGGGTCCGTGTCGGTGCGCGTGTGTGCGTGTGCGCTT